CGCAGAGCCCAGAGACCATCGCGTCGCAGAGCCCAGAGACCATCGCGTCGCAGAGCCCAGAGACCATCGCGTCGCAGAGCCCAGAGACCATCGCAAAGCCCAGAGACCATCGCAAAGCCCAGAGACCATCGCAAAGCCCAGAGACCATCGCAGAGCACCGAGACCATCGCGTCGCAGAGCCCCCGAGACCATCGCGTCGCAGAGCCCTAAGTTTATTGTGTTGCAGAGCCCTCTCCTGAAATCCTCCGCCGAGACATCAGGCAGGCACCCTAGAGCAGAGCAGCAGTACAAAGTATGTAGCAAATTCATATACTATTATTCTGCATTGCTGTATAATGTATTGCTGGGATTTCTAGTATTCTATAGCTGATGGTATAACTCTGCATTGTTGTATAATGTATTGCTGGGATATGTAGTTCTCTATAGCTGATGGCATTATTCTGCATTGTTGTATACTGTATCGCCTGGATTTATAGTCCTTTATAGCCGATTGTTTTCTGCAATGCAGTATAATGTATTGCTGGGATTTGTAGTCCCTCTACAGCTCGGAGTCAGTGGCAGAACTACTTGGGTTGTATTCAAATCAGGAATTGTAACTTTACATGTTACATCCTCAAAAGATCAAGGTGACAGCCTCACAAGTAAAATTTTCAGAAAAAGGTCAACAATAAAGGTCAATATATTTTCTCTCAGCAGCTTTCCTTGACTCTATCGAAAGCCAAAATCATGTCTTATGGTGAGGGGTTAGAACTTCGGTTTTTACTGCTGTACTTGCCCCTGCCCATAGAAAATTAAAAAATGTAAATTGTCACTAGAACAGAGACAGAGAAACATAAATTACCCCCATGATGGACTACAATCTCATATTAATTTACCAAATCCACAAATTTACATCCAAAACAAAGAAAAATCTTTTTAAAGCTAACCTCCAGGCAGATTTAAAAGATAACATAATGCAGGCTATGTATTCATTAGTACACCATTAAATGATTTTTTTTTTTTTAAATTTAAAAAACAGTCTAAGTACCCATATTTAAGACAATAGAGCTTTGACTGGGTAGCAGAGAAGAAGCACAAGAAGCCAATCAGTTGTGGTGCAATGTAAAGCTGGCCATACACCTTACAATTATCTGCAGATTTTCTGTGGTCAGATGGAAAAGGTGCAACAGATTCCTCCATCTCCACTTAAATGTATGGATAGATTAATCTCCACCTGGGCCAATCTGTTGCACTTTTTCCATCTGACCACAGAAAATCTGCAGATAAATTGTAAGGTGTGTGGGCACCTTAAGGGTCGAGAGGAGATCTCTAAGAGTTACTAAATTGCAAAAAGGATAAACTCAGGTCTACCTACACCCCCCATCCTGACAAGGATTTGCTGTGTGGCAGGGTTATGTAAATTTCAAATTTTGAAAAAAAGAAGTAAAAAATTATTTCAAGGTAAAACAGCTTGCCAATATGTATTTTTTCCATGTATTGAGCTGTTTGTCTGGGAGTTCAGCTTTAAATAATGTTGCCACTCTAAGCTGCTGCATGCTGATCTGTGACTGTCAGCAGTAACTGCATGCCACTGCTTTTAGTACCATACTAAAGGCTTATGAAATACATTTATGTGTGTTGCCACAAGCAGCCAGCTTAAAAGTTGTTTTATTATTATTTTGTTATGTATGTTCCCCTTATTGTTTCTGGTTAATTATTACAGCCCTTAGCTTTGTCACTGCCTGTCTCACCCTGCTGATAGTCAGTCTGCAGTCTATTTCCTACAAGCCCAAAGGTGAGAAGGTATAGGTGCCGATCTTATTTATTTTTACCTGCAAGGAAGCTTACAATAACACAGGCCTGGCAGGACAGGAAGGGGGGGAGAGAGATGAGCAAGCACCCACCTCCCTTCCTGCCATACCAGGCAACATGCCCTCTGCACTGCCGCTGGGGACGATAATAAAGGGGCACCCAGATGCGGCCCCCCCCCCTTGTAAATGAATATGGGGTACTTGCACCCTTACCCATTCACTAAAGGGTTAAAAGATTTTTAAAAAAGAAGACTTGTGAAAAAATCCTTTAATTGAAAAAAAAACGCAACAAAAAGGATTTTGACAAGTCCTTTAGTGTAATAAAAAAAGATCAAATAAATAAAAAATAAATTTAAAAAAAGAACCGATGCCCGCCGACCCGACCGTACACGATGAACTACCGCTGCAGAATGAAGAATCTGACAGATGCCAGCAAAATATAAACAATTGGATGGAGCTAGCAGGGACATTACTGCTAGCTCCGCCCAACTGTTTACATTTGCCCAGTACCTGCCAGAGTCTTTCAGCAGGTCCCAGGCAAATGAAAACAACTGAGCGGAGCCGGCCGTGACCTCAGGGTTGGCTCCACCCAGTTGTTGTTGTTTAATGACAGATCAGCGTCCACAGGTCAGCGACGCCTAGGATACAGGCTGACATGTCCAGCTTTAGTCAAGTGGAGTTCATGCAGCTGTTCCTGGGGTATGACATTTTAGGGAAAATTGTGTCCCAGACCAACATATATTCTGAGCAATATATTGCCCAAAATCCTGACTCCTATCTTGCGGAAAGTGAAACATGGTATTCCACAAGTGTACCTAAAATCAAAATTTTCTGGGCACTTACAAGGCTGTTAAATTTTAAAAAGCTGAGTATTCGACTATACTGGTCCAAATACCCAATCTGCAGTACCCTCATTTTTTCCCAGTCCATGAACCGGAACAGGTATGAAACTTTACTATTTCATGCACTTCAATGACAACAGTAAGTGCCTTTCAAGAGTCATCCAGAGAATGACAGATTTAAAATTCTTCCCCTAATATTCCACTTTAACTAATCATTTTCAAGACTATGATGAGTGCCTTATGAAGTACAAGGGGCGCCTGGGGTTAAAGCAGTTTATTCCATCTAAGAGATCAAAGGTATGGAATTAAACTTTATAAGCTATGTGAAAGTAGCAGTGGCTATAGCCTCCTTTTTTACATAGGGACAAGTGGGAAAATTGTATGGGATCTCACGACCCCTTGCTAAACAAGGGATATCACTTATACCTAGACAACTACTACAACAGCATCCCACTTGCAAAAATTTTATTCTGCTTTGAAACTGTGGCATGTAAAGACACGTAAACATTTTCCACAGGAGCTGGTTGTCAAAAAGCTGAAAAAAGGGGGAAACAGCTGCTCTTTGCCCCACTTGCTGGGGACCTCGCAGCAGTTTACAGCACTGGCCGCACATATCATTCTCCTCCTTCCTGCCACGCACAGCCTTGGTCAGTTTCCACACATCCCTGGTGAGCAACACAGAGTACGTAGCTTCATATTATTCTGCCTTGCTGTACAATGTATTGCTGGGATTTGCAGTCCTCTCTAGCTACTGGTATTCTGCATTGTTGTACAATGTATTGCTGGGATTTATAGTCCTCTTAGCTGGTGGTATTCTGCATTGTTGTATAATGTATTGATAGGATTTGTAGTCCCTCTACAGCTTGGGGTCAGTGGCAGAACCAGCAGGGTCCCAGCAGTCGCACCTGTTACCGGGCCCTGGCGCTCTATTACCATCACAAAATCATTAGACTGTATTGTTTTAGAAAAACTGTCACATGACACACACACAAAAAAAAGGATCAGTAATTGGTGTCAGCAAGTACTTGAGAAGTATTGGTACTTGGTCTTGAAAAATAGTATTGGTGCATCCCTAATTTTTGGCAGACCATGGTCACTGGAAACAGAATAAAATGCACCTGTTTAAGTAGCATATATATTAGAACTCAAGTATTTTATCTTTTTCTGAGTACCTCAACATCCAGGACACTGCGGGGCTGCGCTTGGCAGAGCATGCTTAGCAGCTGCAAAATTAACTCTTCGACATACTGGAGAGCATCTTCGGCTGAGGAGAGGTTTGGGTGGACCTGTACTTGAACCTGAATGGGATTGAACAAGAAAATAAAAATCACTGTTTTGCAAACATAAATTACACAATACACACATCTTGCATGTTCTAGCAATCTTATGTTGTCACAAAATGCAAATCACAAATTTAAGATACATAAATCCCAATAAAGGATTTATGTATCTTACAACAACTAAAAAGGATAATTAAAAGAAACTTGTCGTCATTACAGGCACATGGAGGTTGTCATTGTTGACTTCTTTATAAAATGCTAGTATCCCCGCTGACCTTCGCTGAAACTTACAGACAGTTAAGCTTTGAAAACAAAAGAGAGAAGTTGATTGGTGGCCATGGATAAGTGCTCCATATTTTCTCTGCTCCAGTTTTGATAAATTCCCCTCAGTGTGTGCATAGTATTACAGTTTGTTTTTGTTAAACATTAGCTATGAGAAAGCAGTAATCTTTTTGCAGAGGTTCAACACACCCACTGTTTTAAGAGCTCTCCAATCAGCAGTGAGCATAAGCTTTACTGATTGTAGAGCTATAGGACTGTGTGTGTGTCAGACCTCTGCAATGACACTACTGCTTTCATGCAGAGAGCAAGAGTCCTATTCTGCAGCATTTAGGGCAGGTTTTGCTACTTAAAGTGACATTAAACCCTCAGATTTTTTTAACATAAACTAATACTGTAATGTGTGCCTTACTGTAATCCATGGTTGTTTCCCTTCTCTTTGCTGCTCTTCCTTTTAAATCCTTCTCTCTTCTCAGCAGCAAAGAGAAAGGAAACAACTATGGATTACAGTAAGGCACACATTACAGTATTGGTTTATGTTAAAAAATCTGAAGGTTTAATGTCACTTTAAGCTTTGGCTGCTTTAGAAAGAAAACTAAATATAAGACACTGAACACCTTTTGTTGTGATAGGTATTTGGCAGATTTAAACTGAGTGTTGAAGCAACCTATAAAAGTGATAGGCCAACAGAACAGCCTTATTAAAAGGGAATGTATCGTGATTTGGTATACATTTTCTATATTATGGCTAGGACTAAAATATAGATTTAAAAAAATCTTCTATGTGAAAAAAAGTTCCAAAAAACTTAAAGCAGAATACATTTTTTTTATGTCTGTAATGTAAATATAAAATGTATTAGGATGTTTAGGTTACTTTAAGTATGTGTGTGGTTACTGTAACATTTTCACTTCACTGAGGCTGGATAGTACAGATCACCCTATATACAAATAGTTTTGTGAATGGGCAAAGTAAGAGCGGCGGAGAAAACAACAGTGTGGCTACCGTGTATGAGAATCTGAAGGCGTCAGAAGCCACTCTTGCTGTACTTCCATTGAACGAAACTGAAAATTTAACAGTAACCACACACATACTTAAAGTGACATACACATCTAAACACTTATATTTACACTACAGATGTAAGAAACAAAATCACGAAGTAACGACCTCATACATATACAGGTGGTTTCAAATAGTAACAAAGACATGGAGAATTTAAACATTCTTTACACCGACCAGAAATCCATTTTGGGTATAGCCACTTTTTAAGCCCAACGAGTCTCTCCTTGGCAACTAGTTTGTCACAAGGTCACTGATTGTCCAGAATAGTCTAGATGTATTTTCCCTTGCTGGGGCAAATCAAGAATCATTTCTGAATAAGTCAGTAGAACACCTGTGACAGATTATATTTGAAAAAAGTACTAGTAGAAATCCCCATTAACCCCTTTGTGATGGGAGACGTACACAAAGTGCCCAATTGACTGGCCACGTACACATTTGCGGCTCTGCAATGCTGGTAACCGCTGAGCTCCCCCTCCTGCAATGCCTCACCTTCAATCCCGGGATCCGCTACCCCATCTGTGGCCAGGGACCGGCTCGGGAGGGTGTCAGGAGGTAAGTTGGGAGGGAGATCAGCATTTTCCTCCTAGCTGATTACCCTCCGTACTGTGAATGTGGAAGTGATGTGTAATACATCACTTCCGCATTCACCTGTCAGTCATCTGGCTGCTATAGCCAGTGAGAAGACGCTGATGAAGATCTCTGCTTCATCAGCTACTTTGGGGGTCCCCAGGTAACATTAGGGGTCTTCGAGACCCCTAATGTCTCCATAAAGAGGACCCGTCAGTGTGCCTTTGCTATTATATAGGGGGATTGTTATTCCCCTATGTAATAGCAATGACAATAAGTGTAAAAAAATAAAATAAAAGTCACATATAAAAAAAAAAGTTTTAAAAAGCCCCACCCCCGCATTTACGCACATATAAACGTAAATACGTTTCGATGCGCCAGCGCGAGAAAACGACAATTGCGCTTCACATGTTACATATCGCAGCGAACGTCGGAGTGAGCGCAATAATTTTAGAGCCAGCAATCACTGATAACACTAAACTGATAAGCGGTAAAAGCTTTTAAAGCGTCACCTATGGCCAATTTTGGCTATTGTAGCCTTTTGAGGTTTCGCACGCGCACGCAATTTTGAGGCTTGACATGTTTGGTGTCTTTTTACCCGACGTGGCCCCGTCTTTTATATTTTAGCAAAAAATTGGGTAATAATAAATGTTTTATAATATAGGGGGAAAAACATTTTTCCGGTAATTTTTCCTTAATATAGTAAAAAATAAAAACCCCAGTGGTGATTAAATACAACTAAAATAAAGCTCTATCTGTCCCCAAAATATGGTATAAAATGAATTTCAGTACAGCGTTGCATGACTGAACAAATGTCAAAGAACCGCAGCGCTGAAGACTGAAAAATGTCCTGGACAGGAAGGGGGTTTAACACCGCGGACTTCAAGTGGTTAAAGTTTTAAGCTTTTTCAAACACCCGATCGCTTTAAGTGATCAGGTGTCTAAAGGTGCCCATACACTGCACGATTATCGTACGATAATCGTATGCGATCGGTTTTTCGTACGATAATCGAGCAGTGTGAACGGACACGTGCGACCGTTTCTACTGTACGGTCGCACGTCTTCTGTCGAACCAGCATGTTCGAAAACCAGCCGGGAATCGTACGATTCTCGGCTGGTTAGAACGGTGCTCGGAAGACAAATGCCGAGCGGGCCGGTGTGCGCACGCGCACACTGCCCGTTCAGCATTGCGGTCATCGGAAGCCCGCCCCTCAGGGGGGCGGGCTTGCGATGATCGAGAGTGCGATCTGCCTGTCCAAGATAGGCAGATCGTACGTTTTTTTAATCCCTGTACAACCATCGCAAGACTAAAGTCTTGCGATGGTTGTAGAGTGTATGGCCACCTTTACAGTGATAGGAGTGCGGTATGAACTCCCAATCTGTAATGGCTTTTTGCTAAATGTTTCAGCATAGAAACATACAGCAAAAGCTGACTGTTTCCGGCTTCTAAATGCTGTGGCAAACAGCCACAACGATCAGAAGTCTTTAGTGACATCTGAGGATGACATGCTGCAGTATATACAGGTGCCTTACAGTTGCATTGCAGGGAAGTATGTGATTCGTTGGTGCTGCTAATGCCTTTGTTGAAGATTGCTTGTGGTGCTTTAACCCTGCAGTTGCTTGCCAAGTGCAGGCTGCATGCCACTTGTAGTTCTGCTACTACAGCTTTAGCTGGATCTTACAGAAATCTGTTGTTTGCTAACTCTGTCAGCGTCAAAGCTTCAATCAGGTGCCTTAACTCTTTGGGTGCCTTTTATGTGAGTATTGTTGCTGACACCTGTGGTTCCTCAGCGCTGTTAATATTTATTGCAGTTGTTGCTTCATTTGCAGGCTACACCTTACACCCATACACCTTACGATTACCAGACGAAACTTTTCGTCCGATGATCGAACCGTCGTGCGATTTTCGTACGACGGGCGCATCCTGCCCCGATTATCGCAAGGTTCAATCAGCCGTGGTTTAAAAAAACACCTGGACGACTTGCAGTAATTGACCGCAATTATTTTCGTTTGCGCATGCGCAGTGTTAATCGTACGACTTTTGACGGACGGAAACGCCACCAACCATGCGAACATTGCACGATCGACCAAAGTTTTCAAACATGCTTGACCGTCAAAAGTCCTACGAGTGTACAGTACTATCGGTCGGGCACTCTATTCACACGTTACGATTGTCGTATGAAAAGTCGATCGCATACGATAATCGTAAGGTGTATGGGCACCTTTATTCTGCCTGTTTTACTGTAATCCTTTCATTGCACCATGTATACAGCATTGTGGTTAATGTCTAGCAGGTTCTGACAGGTCCCATTGTGCTATAACCCTTCATTGCTCCATAGGTGTGTATGTGGCTACCATGTATACAACATTGTTAGTGTCCAGCTGGTTCTGACAGGTACTATTAAATCACATCAATCCTCCTTCAGTTTATCTGTGACTGCAAAAGGTTGGATCATGTGTTCAATTCCCACATGGCATTAACCCCCTTCTCTGAAGAGACCGGCTACATTCTATAAGGTGAGGGTCAGTTAGGTATATAAAAAAAAAATTTTTTAAATGCACACGCACTGGCTCAATGAAATTTACATATTTTCAGCTCTATTGTCAGTACTGTTCCTCAGAGTGCATATGCAGGGGTTAATCTATTGTAAATCTCTCGAGCCCTTTGCCACTGCTGCTTTTCAGAGTGCAAATGCATAGATTTCTCTCTCCAGCCTTATTGCCAGCACTGCTCTCCAAAGGCCAGAGTAAGTTGCTCCGTTTGGGATGAAAGGTCCTCTTCAAGCTGTGATAAAGCTGCTGCTACACATGCAAGATCCTGCTACTAGGATCAGGGCTGTCTTTAATATTGATTGGACCCCGGGCAAACATTTTCTTGGGCCCCCCATGCAATATTGCCCGCTATATGCTGACAGTGCAGAGCCACGCTGCAGCTGGGATGGATACAAAAAAATATTGTCCAGACCCACCCCACCGCCTGATTGGCAGCTGACTCTACCTCTCTAGAGGTTGTGTCCGCCCCATCCATCCCTCCAGTCAGCGTTGGAGGATCAGAGAGGGGAGGGCGGGTATTCCTGCGAGGAGCCGTGACTGACAGTCACCGCTCTCTGCAG